CTAGTCCCACCTCCGCCACTGGCTTGTTGGGTGACCTTGGGCAAGTCAGTTTCCCCCTCTGTGCCTCGGTTTCCTCTCCAACACATTATCAATGTAGATTGCGAGCTCTTCAAGGCAGGGTCTCTCTCTCTTAGGTGTCTGTGCAGCACCCGTGACAACAGAGCCTCCGATCTTGGGTGGGATTTCTGATTTCTGTAATCTAAGTAATAAGAGTGTGATAGCCAAACCAGACACTGGTTAGTAGAACAGTGTGAATCCACTGGAATGACTTTGGATTTATGCAGAGGGGCAATAAGAAGAGGATCAGACCAATAACAATGGAGACTTCCCCTGCCCACGCTTTCCTTCCCACCGAGCAGAATGCCGGGCGCTGGACACGTGGGCACAGCGAGATGCCGGCTGACCAAATCCCCCCGGTCTCCTATTAATACTCAGGCCCCTGAAATAAAGAAGGCAGCTGGAGGTAGAAAATATCCCTGGCTGGGGGCAGAGGAGATGGGGGTCGGGAGCGAGGGCTCCAAAGGAATGGGGCCAAGTGGAGACGCCAGGGGCGGATTGGAGTCAGAGCGGCAGCGTTCTGGGAGCGCTGGCCTGTGCGATTCCCTTCCGGACCGGCCCCATTAGTCACCAGGAGAAACGTTCACAGCAGGGTCAGTGCCTGGTGCTCAGCGGTTATTGAGACGGGAGCCTTGTGCCCCAGTGACAGCCCTGGGGGGGCCAGGAGGGCAGAGCCCCGGCCGCTGGGAGCAGGGTTAGAGCCCACGGCACAGATCGGGCTCTGGGGTAGATTGGGGTAAGTGCATTGAAGTCGATGGGAGCTACGGGGTCCGGCCCCATTGACTCCCAAGGAGCGATGGCCAGTTTACACCAGCTGGGATCTGGCCTCACTGGAGTGACACCTGTGTAAGGGAGAAACATCTCATCTGCTCACTCAGCCGGATCCTGGCCCTGGTGTAACTTCCTCCCAGACGGATTGGGTAGCACTTTCACCCCCAGTCCCCTCCCCAAGCTGGGGAGAGCACCCAGGAGTCAGCTCCCAGCCCCCACTCCTCCAATCACCAGCCCACAGCCTGGCAAAGTGCCCATCAAGGTGCTGTTAGCCCGGGACATGGGAGCTCTGGGGCAGCCCCACCTCTCTCAGGAGGTCAGGGCGGGAACCCCTGAGCTGGGCGGGTGACCCAGAGCGAAAGCCATGTGTCATCCTGCCCAGGGAACACCCCGCGGGCAATCCCCTGCCCCTCCCTCCTGGGACTGCTGGCACGTGGGAGGCAACAACTTCCCCCAGCCCCACTGGTCCCACATTCCCAGCTGTACACCGAGCAGCGACTCCCCGGCCCGGCTTTCCCAGCCGAGCACATGCTGAGAGCCCACTCCATGCACCTGGCCTAGGTGGGGGCGGCAGCTGCTGATGCAGTGCCCCCTTCCCCGACGCGGATGCCCTTGGAAAGTCCCTGCTCCTCGAAAGAGGCAGGAAACTCACTGCACTCCCCCCCCCCGCACCCCTCAGGAGCCCAGTCTTGCTGCTACTTCAAACCACAGCTCTGTGCTGGGAGCCCTGCTCTAACCGCTG